GGAAAGAGTCGTTACGGGTGCCACTAATGATGGGAAGGAAATTAATTTCAAACATGCAGTTCATCCTCCTCTGGAGGGTCCCCACACAACCCTGATTTCCAACAAGGAGTAAAACAGTAGGGGCTGCTGGGACCCGCCTGAATTATTTCTCTGAAGGAATCAGAGACCAAAAAAGGTGAAGAACTTGCCCTAGATCACAAAGCAATTACGATAGCAGGGTACGTACTTGCAACTTGCGGTTTCCCACTCCCTGGGCACCTTCGTTCTTTCTGTAAATATTCAGTGGGTGCCTGCTGTGTGCCACACCCTGTCAAAGGCTCTGTAGGGCCCCTTCCTCAAGAGAGATGAGTATTTTTATTTACTGAGCACCAACAGAGTGCTTGATAGATCTTGTTTAATCCTCCTAACAATCCATCATTTTGTAGGAGAGGAAACTCTGGCTCAGAGAGGTAAGGTGACCTGCCGGAGATCACACAGCGAGCGCAGAGTAGAGCCAGGACTCAAAGCCAAGTCTCAAACCTGGGTTCAGCTTCTGTTTTCCAGGTTAGGGAGATGTGCGGGGATGGGGGTGGGGGTGGCGATACTCCAGCCACACCCTCCCTTCCAAGACCACTCCCTCCTCTCTTCCAAGGCCTTTCTCCCTGACCCAGGGCTCTCAGCAAACACTGGTTTACTAGCTGGCTTTTGTCTTGAGATCCCAGTTGTATTATACAACGCTGGTGACTGGTATTCAGTAAGTTGTTCAGGAAGTGTTAGAAATTAGAGTCAGTTCTGTTTCAACACAGCGAGTAAGCCCCTGTCATTTACTCCTCTCCCTGTCAAGAGCCCATGGATGTGACCAGAGACAGAGAAATTCGTATCAGCCAGGGCTGCAAAGCAGACTGAAGCCGTGCATTCAAGCTCCCGAAGAAGAGAACCAGAACACAGAGCCGCTGGCTACAAGCACAAGGGAGAGCTCCCCAGGTCATACACAGATATTCTCACACACACACACACACACACACACACACACAAAATCATCACAACACAGAAAAGCAGGTATCAGTGTCCCCATTTTATGGATGAGGAGACTGAGACTTCCCAGGCTCAAAAAGCTTGCCCAGGGCTTCCCTGGTGGTGTAGTGGTTGAGAGTCCGCCTGCCGATGCAGGGGACAGGGGTTCATGCCCCGGACTGGGAAGATCCCACATGCCGCGGAGCGGCGGGGCCCGTGAGCCATGGCTGCTGAGCCTGTGCGTCCGGAGCCTGCGCTCCGCAATGCGAGAGGCCACAGCAGTGAGAGGCCCGCATACAGGAAAAAAAAAAAAGTTTGCCCAATGTCACAGATTGTATTTGAGGCAGAGCTGAGATTTGCAACCGGTACCTAACCCAGCCCCTGGTACACAGCAGGCACTGAATAGCTATTTCCTCAATGGCTGGCTGGCTCCAAAGCCTTCCCAGCAGACTGGGGTCTGTGACTGCCTGCTTTTAGACCCAGTGTGCAGAAAGTGGAGATCACACACGGGGCACAGAAGCTCCTGTTTCTTGGTCTCTCTCAGTTGACCTGGGATATTCCGAGCCAGGGAAAGCAGGCCTGAGAGAGTGGCGTGGCTTCCATTTCTGGGACACACGCGCACGCAGCCAGATTTGCAACAATGACTATGACTGTGATGAATTGGAGCCAGAAGAGGTCAGGCCTCCCACTCTCTCTCCGCTCAGTTGGGTGCAGCCCTGTCAACTGTAACAAGCCCCACCCCCAACTCAGCCAACTCCCATCACAAAGACCGTCTCCCCAGGGTCGGCGGGAAAATGCCATGAACGTTGTGTTTCTTCATTCAAAATCCCTGTCACCTATAATGTGTGTGTGTTTGCCCTTCAATCTGTGACAATGTCCTTTCTCATTTTTTGCTGTCCTTTCTTCTGCAAAAGGAGGGCAACTGGAGATCCCAACTGGTTATCTTTTCAATATCATTAATGGAGAAAAGGAAAAGGTGGCACTCGCCAATCGGGAGAGGAATTTTTCATTCCACAAACTCAAAAATCCAATGGAAGAGGCAGCTCGAACTTTGTTCCTAGTGATGTCCCCAGTTACTTCTCACCCCTCCTGCCTTGAAAGGCCCTTCCCACCCCTCATCCCAGGTATCTTCTGGGCTCCTACCATGCCATGGGCCAGCTCCATCCTTGTTTCAATCTGAGTTAGCCAGACCCCCCAACCCCCAACCCCATCACACCTGGTCAGGCCCACTGCAGGGCATGCTAAATGGATGTACGAATGAGCGAACAAATGCTTTCTGAGCATCTGGGCACCCAGACCTGCTCTTCAGGGGCTGGTACCAGCCACTTCCAGAATTTCTTTTCAAGAAGGAGCTGCCAACTGCAGGCCTCCTGGACCTTCCAAAGGATCTTCATTCTACAATGTGACAAACACCTGTCCATGTCCCTGCCTGCCCCCACCCAGACATCGTCTGTCTTCACCCCGCAGCGCCAGCCTGACCACTTCCACCCCAGGAGGCAGCGAGCACCCGCTGCTTACCTTCTGCTGAAACACACCTGCAATGCACCAGGGTCTTGTAAGTAGGAGGAACCCGAGTCTCATTCCACAGAAGCCCCAGCAGCGAGAGAACGCGCCCGCGACAGCCTCTGTGCGATTCTGCTGCATAATCAGCAGAGAAAGAGAAAAAATGCCAGAAATAGCAAGCTTTATAAGCCCTCCTGACAACTCTTGGTCCTCTATTGGCTGGAGGCCCGGTACCCCAACCCCCCATCCCATTCCTATAAGGTGAAATGCAAAAACCTGTTATTTAACCTCTTTTTTCAAAATCCACCTTCTATCCCAATTTTGGGCCTGTGTGTTCAGAGCTCCTGGCGGCGGTCTCCACGCCAGGTCTCAGGGCGCAGAAGGGGAGGCAGCTCAGCTCTGCATTATTTGTGGCTTAAGGGCCTTCCCCACTGCCCTGGGAGCGGGTGTTGGACAGGAAGGGCTTTAGGAAGGCACTCTGGCAGCACCTGTGTGAAACCTGCATGTCATTTCATTTGGCAATTAGACTTCTGAGCATCCATCCTGCAGAAATATTGGTACCTGCGTGCACCATGCAGGCTCACTGACGTTGCTCGTTACAGAGAAGAATTAGAGGCAAGCTAAATGTCTAAAACAGGGTCAGGCTGAATCGACTGAAGTATATCCGTTCTGTGGAATATGATAGAATGAGGAAGGTCTGTAGGTGCTGACTTAGAACCGGCTGGGAGCAAGTTGAGGACATGATCCCATTTTTATAAAAACCATCATGATGTGTGTTTGGATTTGCACTGTGAAAGGTGCCAACCTGTTCATAGTGGTCACCCTTGGGAGTAGGAGAAGGAGGTATTTTCAGCTGCTACTTTTTCCTTTCTTGTTTCTTTCTTTTTTTTTTTTCTTTTCTACAAGCATGTACTACATTTGTAGTTTAAAACAAAAACATAAGAGCCTCCCTGGTTCCTTTCCCACTCCTCTGAAGCCAGTAAGCCAAGGGCCAAGGTCACCCACCACAAGGCTGGATCAGGTCTGGGACAGTGCTGGCCCGAAGCAGTACGGGTCCCCTGGCAATCTCATTAGCTTTCACACAAATCCAGCTAAATTAGGGCTCCGTGAAGAAGGCGGACTTTGGAATAAGACAGAACTGGGTCTGAATTCTTGCTCTGCCTGCTGGAACAGTTAACTTCCCTGAGCCTCAGTTTCTTCATCTGTAAAATGGGCATGATAGCACCTGTTAAGTACCATGTACTATGCTGGGTGCTATTAAGCCAATTTTAATCTTTTGGACATTTCAGAAACATCAGAGGCTGCTGAGGAAGCATCAGAGAGCTGAGGGCATCTAGAACTAAGTGAGAGGAGTTCTGGGGGCGTCGCCCCACTTATAACAATAATAAGCTAAGTGACAGAGAGAAAGCCCTGGGGAACGGCAAATGCCACGTGATAAAGGGGGTTGCTGCTCAGCATGACAGTATGAGGAAGGATTAAGGGGATTAGAAAAGGCTCCAAAGGGAATTCCCTGACAGTCCAGTGGTTAGGACTTTGCGCTTCCACTGCAGGGGAAATGGGTTCGATCCCTGATCAGGGAACTACGATCCCGCGTGCTGTGCAGCGCAGCCAAAAAAAAAAAAAAAAAAAATTAATTTTAAAAAAAAGAAAGAAAGAAAAGGCTCCAGAGAGGAAGAAGTCTTGCTTGTGCCTCTGCACCTTTCTCATGCTGCTCCCTCTGCATAAAATGCCTTTGTCCTGATCTCCACAAAACCCTTGTATCCTGCTCAAGCTCTCCTTCCTCCCCAGAGAGGGGGTCCACTGACTCACCCACACCTGAATTATTTTCTTTGTAGCACACACTCCTCCAGCCGATGGCTTCTGGTTGCTTGCTTTGATGGTTTTTATTTCTATGTTTATTGTTCATCTTCCTCCCTAGGCTGTGAGCTCCTTGATGGCTGGGACCATCTGTCTTGTTCAGCTCTGGGTCCCAGCTCCTAGCACGGGAACTGACTCACAGTAGGTGCTCAACAAATAGAAAGTACACACAATCTGTAGATACAAGGCCAAGATCCAAGCACATGAAGTTTGTCTGAAGGAAAGGGAGACGCAGGTTTTGCACTGTGATAGAAAGGGATGAAAAGTTCAGACATACTGAAGATTTGGAAGTGCACACACACAAAGCTGGAAGAGTGCAGGAAGAAACCATCCATGAATACTCATATAAGCTTAAGATGGGAAAGGATTTTCTAGACCCAAATCTCTATGAACAAGGATGTTTATTTCTTCATTGCAACATTATTTATGAGAACATGGAAATGACAACAAAATCCACTGAGAGCGGACTGGTTAAATAAATCACAGGTCTCTGTACAGTGGAATACTAGGCACCTATGAAGTGATCAGCATTTACTGCTATGGAAAGAAGCTCATGTTGTTTGTTGAATGTTAAACTCGCTCACTGGAAACCAGAGATGCTGATAAAAGGTGTAACTGATTGGCACACCGACAGTGTGAAGGCAAAAATCCTTCAATTATCATTTATTTATTCATTCACTCACCAAGAATTTTCTGTTCCCTCTGCCTACTTCCCACGCCATGCAGGGCGGGGTTCCAGACACCAGGGCAACGTGTGAGCAGGACACTGTCCGTGCCTTCAAAAGACATCCCAGCTCATGCATGTAGTGAGACAGTATGATGGAAGGAAGACGGTGCTCACAGCTAAGGGCCCCAGGGTCATCGGCTGAGCGAGGACTTCTTAGAAAACGTGTCATTTGAGCTGGGATTTGAAGGAGGGGCGGAGTTTGGGTGAACAGAGAAGGGAGGAAGCATAGTTAGAGATGGGACAACACAGGACAAATGCAGGAAGTCCCCACATTCTCCATCAAACACTTAACCGAACTCCACCATGTGCGGGGGGGG